CCACCGCGCCCGGCCAAAAATATTCTTAAACTTAGATTTAGAATGACAGGCCTACGGTCTTCTTCCACCTAGGCTGGCATTTGTGCTGTGATACAGCCTGTGAGAATGCCCACAGACTCCTGGACATTGGGTTCACCGTGGGCATGTACAGACGGTATTCCAAAGGGGTGACCAGCAATGCCAGACACTTTCCACTTTCCTCACCACATCTATTCTCTAGTTGGCTCTGTGACCCGAGAGGTTGAGCTAAATTAACTACATCTACTTGGCAATCCTGCTGGGTTTCCTGGCTTCTAGCTGGGTATAGCTAATACTAGGCACTGGCAAGAGGCTGGAGGGTACGTGTTTCTTCTCCTGCCACTGTCTGCTGGGAGGAGGCTGGCAACGGCTGCATGCCTCTAGCACCCACCTTGCTCTTGTCAGGAAGCCCTCTCCTACTGCTTCAGATCTCTGAAAACAGCTCTCTCCTCTTGCCCTTTCAGGCCCAAGGATGATGGTGTCTTATCATAGCTGCTAGCCTCTGAATATCCCTGCCTAGTTTTCCCTAACCCCACCTATGACTTTGTAAATCACCTCTTTTGAAATACTTTTAAATGTGCCATGTCTTTTCTGCCAGGACACTGACTGATACATGTAAGAGGAACCACTTCCCATTTTCTTTTAAAATATCTGAAATTCCTTTTCATGTATTTTTGTGCCTTAACTTTGTGTACCACTCCATATACAGAAGTCACATGGAAGCAAAAGATCAGATGCCAAAAATCTAAGGGGTGCATTTGGGCCTTCTTACTTTTTCTGGTGAGAGGTGGTACGACGGGTGCAAAAGACAGCGATAATCACAACCACCACGATGGTGATGACGCCAACAGAAACAATTATGACCAGCAGCATATTACTGTCCAGAGGAGAGGTGGGGCTCCCATGAGGGCTGTTACTGCCTGCAGAGAGAGAAACGGTATATGTGTTAGTGTTAGAGAATTTAAAACTTGCACACTATCAAGCTACAGAACCATTAATATCTCACTTGAACTTCTTGATCATTGCTCTGCCTCATATAAAAGTGCTGCGTGAACATGGCTCTCTCCTCTAGATGATGAGCTCCTAGACAGCTAAGAGTCTGTCCTGTGAACAGTGCTCAGGACAGAGCCTGCTCAAAGACAGTGCTTAATTAAAGCTTCTCAAATTGTACTGAACATTCAAGAGCTTTCAAAGGTTAAGATATACTTAGATAAAGAGTCTTGCCTCTCTGGTGTCTCATGTGATACATAAACTCGTCTTGTAAAGCACCACTTATAAATCATTTAGTTTTCTGGTTTTCAAAACCATTTAAAAATGTTCATTCATACAAAGCAAAAGTTTTCCCCAGCAGACAGATATCTGAGATTATAAAAGTTACATGAAAAGTAAAGTCTGTTTTTATAGATACACAGCCTATGCAGAGTTAATTCTCTTGTTCAACTTCAAGAAACAGTAGGTCTGAAGTATGCCTTAATTTGACAAATACTGAACGGTTACTATGTGTCAGTCATTGCTCTAGGTACTAAGGGTGCAATGGTGAACAACAAAGATGTGAATGTTTGGTGGGGGAATGGGACAAACGATAAATATGAAATTATTAGTTAATAACGAATGGTGTGAAAAAAAGAAAATGAGGGGATATGATACAGAGTGTCTGGGTAGCTAATTTAGATTGAGTGGTTAGAAAAAGCTTCTCTGAGAAGATGGCATTTAGTCGAGATCTGAATAAGAAAGATCCTATCATACAAGAGGAAGGACCGTGAGGCAGGAACAAGCTCTTATCAAAGAAGAGAAATGCAGCCAGTGTTTAAGCAAAGAGATGCAAGTCAGAAGGAAGTGAGGAGGAAAAAGGGGATGAGGCTGGAAAAGTTGCAGAGGCTGGACCATTTAGGACCCCCTTTTTTTTTTGAGACAGAATCTCACTCTGTCACCCAGATTTCCTGAAGAAGGAAATTGAGATTTTCTTTTCCTTTTCCTATTATTGTTATTGCTGAAAGGATGAGGTCTAGGCTTTGTAATCTAGCTCTAAGTCTTGCTGTCTTCCATTTCTTGAAGCACGTTTCTTTGCTTCCCTACTCATTATTAAGTTATATATGCTCATATTATAAAATGTGGCAAATCCCACTACACATGTCTAACCACCAGAGATATCTGATGTCTTTCCTTCTAGCTACTCTCTCTCTCTCTCTTAACTTTCTAACAATCAGAGGTGTACAATAATGGGATGAGCTGCCTTGCCAAGTAATGAGTGTTTAGTTATTGGAAGTACTTAAGAGGTATCCTGCCAGCGTGGGATGTTGTGGAAGAAATTCCTACCATCAAAGTATGGCCTGGAATGTGTGTTCAAAAAAAAAATCTCTTGGCTGGGCGCGGTGGCTCACGCCTGTAATCCCAGCACTTCGGGAGGCCGAGGTGGGTGGATCACGAGGTCAGGAGAGAGACTATCTTGGCTAACATGGTGAAACCCCGTCTCTACTAAAAAATACAAAACATTAGCCAGGTACGGAGGCGGGCGCTGTAGTCCCAGCTACTCGGGAGGCTGAGGCAGGAGAATGGTGTGAACCCGGGAGGCGGAGCTTACAGTAAGCCAAGATCACACCACTGCACTCCAGCCTGGGCGACAGAGTGAGACTGTCTAGGTGGAAAACAAAAACAAACAAACAAAATAAATAAATCTCCTGAAGTGGTTCTCCTAACAATCTGGCTTATAAATTTATGTTCTAATCCAAACTTACACTCATTGTGGGAATCCCTTCCACAACGCCGGATTAACTGACCCTCCAACTTTGCTTCTTTGATTTTATAGACTATATCTAAGTACAGTGCTAAATCTGGGGCTGACTTAGAAGGGATTAAGAGCTTATTCTACATTTGGCTCAATCACTTTTATCTTTCATTTATGAGAAAAAGGTAAACAGACAATTTAAACTGTACATACTGACCTTCAATAAAACAACATTTTTATATTTGGGAAAGACCATCGTACTGGGGCCACTAAAATGGACCATACTGTTCATATTAGAGTAGGGCTTTCCATAACACTGTCATTAACAGCAGTGCTGAACTACAGGGCTGGGTATTTGGTAGGGCAGGCATTGCAAATTAGAGGCTGGGGAGCTGAAGTATGGGAGGCAGGCAGAGGCGGAGGTGTTTCTTTCCTGCATTTAACTGACAAATTCTCATTTACTCACATCTGACCTCTAACGTGTGAGCTGGACAAAAGCTTTCTTCTAAGATACAGCAAGAGTGAGCTGCCAAAGAACAGTCCTACTAGGGACAATATATATGCCATTTCTTTATGCCTCATCTGGACTGTTTTTTTTTTCTTTCTTTTTTTTTGGGGGGGGACGGAATCTCACTCTGTCGCCCAGGCTGGAGTGCAGTGGCACAACCACAACCTCAGCTCACTGCAACCTCCGCCTCCTGGATTCGAGTGATTCTCCTGCCTCAGCCTCCTGAGCATCTGGGATTACAGGTGCATGCCACCATGCCTGGCCTGTAACAGCTTCCTAACCCCTCTTCCCTGACTTTATACTCTTAGCCCCCAACTTATTCTTCACTGTTATCAGAGTAGTAATAGTTGACAATAAAACATGGATGTTATAGGGTACCAGTCACGTCAGATATTTCACGTTATTTGTAGGATAAAGCTCTTATTTCTTAACACTGGTACTTGAGTTTTTGACAGGCTGATTCTAACCTGCACTTTCAAGTCAATCTCCACCCTGTCTCTATGCAGTGTGACTCCTGGGGAGAGCAGGCTGTTTTATTAGCATACTGCCATGCCTCTGCACATGCTGATATTGCTTCCTGGAATGTTCATTCCCTTTCTTGACATTTAGCAATCTTCTAGCATCCTTGAAGATCCGGGTTAGACGGCACCTCTTCTTGGAAGCTTTCCCTTTATCAGGTAGTTTGTTACTCACTCCTCTTGCTCCCACAGCTTGTCACATACAGCCTGCATCTTTAAAAATGTGCATGCGGGCCCTGGGCGTGGTGGCTCCTGCCTATAATCTCAGCACTTTGGGAGGCCGAGGTGGGTGGATCACCTGAGATCAGGAGATCAAGACTAGCCTGGCCAACATGGTGAAAACCCATCTCTACTAAAAACACAAAAATCAGCGGGGCATGGTGGCGGGTGCCTGTAATCCCAGCTACTCGGGAGGCTGAGGCAGGAGAATCACTTGAACCCGGGAGGCGGAGGTTGCAGTGAACCGAGATCATGCCACTGCACTCCAGCCTAGGCAACAGAGCAAGACTCCATCTCAAAAAAAACAAAAACCAAAAAAACCAAAAAAAAAAACCATGCCATGCATGAGTGAATACATAAATGAAAGAAAGACAAAGGAGTAATTACTTTCCCCACAGCCTTAAAAATTACACGGTGGACACAATGTAAATGTCACATATGCACGGAGAAGAAGAAACTCATAAACAGAGTCCTGGAACCTGGAACATAATTATTTCTGGAAGGATATACATTTGTCTGGTTCTTTTAAGGCTGATTTCATTAAAGTCTGGGCAGTTCCACTTTTGATGTAAGTAGATAGCTGGAGACTAAGACATCATTGTATTCCTACAATTAGAATACAAGTTACTAGAGGACAGGTGTTTTTCTCATATGTCTCTTTCTTCCATATGTGAAGAGACACTAAGAGTCATTCCTAGTAGGTTTCCACATCTGGTATAGGACCCACTGCTTTTTTAGGTTGAATGCGACAGTGGGAAAGCACAACCTGAAATGAGAAGCCCTGGGTTTCGATCCTAGGACTGCCATAATTAGCGGGTGGCCTCAGGCACATTACTTCTCCACTGAGTTTCTGAATGTATTAAATGGGAATAATGGTATCTGTTCTCCCTGCTTCACTGTGTTGTAAGAATCAATTGTGACTTCATGTGTGAAAGCAGCTTATACATGTTGAAGTTCTGTAAAGATGGGGGTGTCATCATCAAATTAGAAGACACCAGCTCTCAGGATGGCTAGGAGAGTAGAAGAATTTTCTAGAATTACTAAACTAAAAACATTTCAGTATGTAATAGTATTGCAAAAACTCAATGATTCTAAAAGCATTTGTTTGGTTTGTTTTGGATAGTGGGTAATCCTACTAGAGGGTTTATTTTTGAAAGCAAAATTCTAACTCTTTTCTAGAGGCAGTAGGCAACAGGATGAACAAATTGTTTAGGAATTAATCTTAAGTTGGATAACTGGGGAAACAATTTTATTTATGGGTCCTACAACGCATGGGCTTGGAGTAATTTGGCAAACACTTAGATCTAGTAGTAAAAGAAAATAGGTTAATATGCTACAACCCACCATACATAAGCTATAAAAGACATTTCAAAAATTTAAGCAAAACTGCTTCATGTCCATAGTAAGGAAAAAACATCATGGGAAGGGCTTTACCACTCATTGGAGGTTTGTAGTCGGATCCTAGGTCTGGCAGCCGGCTTCCTTTCCCTCCAGACCCTGAGGCTAAAGGAGAAGAAATCATGTCAATAATGACCCCACACATTTGGCGTGACAGTCCACTTCATAGCTAGTGAGTGTTTTAAACAAAAAACACAATTTTTAGTCTATTCTGTCCATGAGAAAATAAAGTAGCACATAAATCATGGGAATCTATAGTCTACGTGTGGAAAGCAAACTAAGGTAGAGCTTTCTATGCAATGAGGCATCTGAAAGACTGACACCCTTGTCTCACAGCTGTGAGCTGACTGTCACTGCTGTTTAGAAGCTGGGACAGCAGGTGCTATTCCTTTAGCTTGGGAAACAGTTCCCAAAGGACTGCTCAGAGGACTTACAGCAAAAGTAGCTTCTCCTAGAAAAGGAACCAAGGGGACTAATTAGGTCAATGTCTACATTAAAGAACTATACTCTTCCAAGGGACCTGGCTATGTGGATACCTAGCAGGTATTAGTATTGTTTAGATTCTTTTCTGAAATTACAAAGTTGTCCTTCTGAATATAAAGTTACCCCAAGCAGGAGCAGGAAGGTAAATGGAAGTTCAAATCAGGTTCTCAGTCACCTACATTCAGGAGTGAAAAAAACAGTCTTCCTCCTAGTTGCTCAAAAAGACACTGTCTCCTAATCCATCATCAGGGAACATACTAAGTGAGGCTGCTGACCTCAGGCAAAGGACCACCCTAGAAGCAGGCCTCAGAAAGTGCAAATATCAGTTTTTTAAAAAATGTTTATACTTGGTCTTGAATTTTGCTCTTCACATTTATAGGAAAAGCTGCTTGAGAAAAGCAAATACAAGGACCTTTTTCCAATAAAGCTCTAAGGTTTATGCCCAGGAAGCAATATCATACTTCTTCTGAAAAGAGGTCTGAAAGAATTGCAAAGTAAAAGCTGTTTTATGAAGTTAACTAAGAGGCTAATACAGCACATTGTTTAATAGACTGACTGCACTTGCATATTGCCTCCATCATATACAACTGTTTGACTTTGGACAAGTTGTTTATTCTTTTTGGGCCTCAGTTTTCTCATTGTAACAGAGGGATAATAATGGTATCCACTTCACAAAGCTGTTGTGAGGATTAAATGGAAAATTAATCCCACAAAATATTTTTAATACTGCCTGACACATAGTAAATGTTCCATAAATGTTAACTACTCCTATTACAAGCATAAAAAATCTTCAGGAAAGAGTATAATCTTCCCTTTACAGAGGCAGAGAGCATGAAGCTTCAAAAAACACTTATAAATGAGAGTTATTTCTACAAATAAAGCCTTACTAGAAATGTATAAACTAGGTGTTTCTGTAAAACATTAGAGCTAATGTCAAATACTTCCATAAATTATCAGGAGATATATATATAAAATGTATTTGATGAAATGAAAAAAATTAAAATCTGAAGTTTGTGTATGCAGTTCATCTAAGAGAATAAATCGAGTGACTAAAACAATGCTACGCTTCCGGAAGCTGAAAACCTACCAAAAGAAGGTAACAGGAGTTCTTGTGGTAGGTTTTCAGTTTCTGGAAGCATAACACTGTTCTATGCTATGGGCATATTCTAGAATTTACTCCCAGTCCCTGGCCCTTTTTCCATTGTCCACACATATTACTTTATCTCCTTACTTCTAATGCCATCATTTCTCCCAAATGACACACACCATATATTAAGAGTCCAGTTGTTCCTCATATGCTTTTCACTATGACAAAGTCTAGCTGGTGGAGATGGCTTAGCACCTGCAAGGCTCTTCAGCTTTAAGTGTACTTAGCTGACAGACAGGCTACATTTAAGCCAAACTATCCAGAGCATTGTATTATGTACATAATTGTCAAAGAACACCATTGCTAACAAACTGGATGGTTTATATTCCTCTATTTCCTAACATTGTTTCTCTTGAATGTGAACTATGAACAAGAAATTCCAAGGATGAACCGAGCACCAAAAACATCAATGAGTAAAGAATTTTAAATACCAGAGGTGTCATGCAGCTAAGAATGGCACTCTGGCTATGGAGTCAAGTGAGAAAACAATGAGCCCATTTATATTCTGTGCATATATATATTATGGGTATTTTTATATTCCTGCACTTTCACACAACAGAAAGTAGTTTGCAGTTTCTCCAACATACAGCAAAAGACTCACTGAATGCAAACACGTTTCCAAAGTGTTTTGGAAAACTCAATACTGCAAGTTCTGACTCTTCCTTGCCATTAGCCAAGATCCAAATACCCTGCATTTCTAATAACTACTCTTAAACCAATAGAGCAATTGTTAAATATTTACTTTTAATGTTCATTCTCAGTATGGAAAACATACTAGCATTAGCTGACTTCCTAAAGATAAAAATCACAAAGTATAGTTATCCCTCCACCATGGCAATTACAGTGGAAAGACAACTGACAGATGGTTTCAAGAATGGTGACATGGAGGCCCCTGTTTCCTAAGTCCGCATTTCAATTATTACTATTATTTTATTTGCTTTTTTTGAGACAGGATCTCACTCTGTTGCCTAGTGCAGTGGTGTGATCATGACTCACTGCAGCCTCTACCTCCCAGGCTCAGACAATCCTCCCACCTCAGCCTCCGGAGTAGCTGGGACTATAAGCGCACGCCACCATGCTCGGCTAACTTTTTTTTTCCTATTTTTTGTAGAGAGGGGGTCTCACTTTGTTGCCCACGCTAGTCTTGAACTCCTGGGTTCAAATGATCCTCCCACCTTGGCCTCCCAAAGTGCTGGGATTACAGGCGTGAGCCACCGTACCCGGCCTAAGTTTTCATTTCAAATAGTTTCGATCTTCTTTTAATATGATAAGACATATTTAAGGGGAGAAATGAAAAAAGAGCTCTGAATTAAGTTTATGGTAACAGAATAAACAAAGCAGTAATTTAATCACAGAGAATCGTAACATTTAGTGAGGTAAATCTGTGGGTTCTTTGTGGGAAGAGGAAAATAGGGTATCCACTGAATGTGATACAACTTTCCACTTAAAGACACTAATAAAATTCTAGATGCTACAAATATGAACAACTGGTATGATTGGTCTAATTATGACTCAAATGCCTATCGTTGTTACAGAACTTAGCACAAAAGATGATCTCATCCACACTTAAGACCAATCTCCTACAGCTGTAGGACCCAGTTTATTGACTCAGTTTTCTTCTGCCTGCCTAGTTAGCTTCTACACAAATTCCCCAGCTTTTCAGAACATGGACTCAACTCTACTTTGGCCAATAAATGTGTGGCTTTTAATACATGGTGCTGATTTTTCAGGAAAAACAAAAAACAAGAAACAAAAAAAAAGCTAATAATAGGTCATAAAAGAAAGGAAAGAAAAGAGAGGCCATCTACTCATTTACCTTGATCATTAGGCATTTTATCAGAGGAGTCCGCTAACAGGCCAAGCACAGGGGAAGAAAAAACAAGAGCAAGGATCACAAGCTTTGAAGATGGGACAGGCAGAACTTTTTAAAGGAAAAAAATTAAAACCCCCACAAACTTCCAAACAAACTGAATCTTGACTTTAGTACTAACAGAAATTAAATTCACACAGGGCTTCCATAATTCCTTAGATTCAGTCCCCAGTTAAATTTTATTAGCCTAAGCTCACTTGGTTCAATGCTTTTATCTTCATTTTCTTCTCTAGGGTTTTATTTAAAAGGCCCTTTTTAGTCTCTTTTTCTCTATAAGGTCCACAAATAAGTCTTTCAGGTTAACAGCCCGCATGAGTTGAACCATCCATCACAAGAACACACTATTATTTCTCTATATGGGAACCAAAAGAATCACATCTGATCTGATTGGTAAAAACTTTTAGATCACTGCAATTCATCTGCCCCAAACAGCCTGGAGCCAATGTCCTCTTTTATATGATATGTTTAGGCTGGTAACCCGGGGAACACTGATTTGGTGGTCAATGAGTAGGTGAGGAATCATTCTGGGATAAATCTTCATACCATGGCTCACAAGCTCATCATTAAGACTTCATATGTTATCCACAGACTCTATATGCTCAAGTGATAGTGTCAGCACAGCCCCACTAAAGAGACACACAACAAAACCCTCAGCCTGGGGAGCATTACCTTTAGGTGTTCTGAATTGGACAGCTTCAGACATGGGTCCCATGCCCTTTGAGTTCCGTGCCTGGATTTTGAAGTAGTATGGTGTGTCAAGAGTTAACTCTTGTATCTGGTGAGTCAGTCTGTTTCCCACAACAGGCTCTATAACCCAGTCATGTATCTCTGCATTCACATCTGTACTGTAATATATGATGTAACCTGTCCAAAGGAGTTAATGGGAAAAGAAATCTCATTCCTGCTTTTCCTTTTGCATTCAGTAAATCAATAAGCACCTATTATATCAAATGCATATTATAGCATAATATTTGAATAGTAAACCCTCAAGGGTCTACAATTAAAATAATGCAGTTTTGAAAACCAGGAATTGCCTGACAGGCTGTTTTAGCTCTCACCAATGTGATCTCCTAGGAACTCCTCGGCAGAGTCACAATGAACTGTCACCTGATACTTCCACCAGGTGGCACTTAATCCCCACATTGAGAAGGGAAGCGTCACAACCATGAGTCTATCTTACCCACAGCAAAAGGGCACTGCGCTGTTGCTGGTTTTAAAAGACAAAGTAAAATGTGATCCAAGTCAAGTCATGATTCATTCTTTCACAAAAGAGGCAAAGTCAAAACCTAAAAAATGACATAAAGACTAGGGTGTACAGAAAGAGATTCCTACTGAAAGCAAGAAGCAGGGCAGTGCTAAGAAACACTTTCCATTTCCTTAGGCCACCTATTCATACAAAGGAACTTTAGGCACACCCCAGTTCCTCAGCACACACCTACATGGGGCAGAGGCACCAAAGGAAGTAGGAGCAGCTGAACCCCATCAGGTTTCCCTCCCTGATAAGGCTGAGGAAAGCAGAGTGTCCCCTCTAATGTGGAAGGCTTTCCTCTGCAAGTACAAGGAAAAAATTCCAGGTCCCTACAAAGGCCTAGGCCAGTTCACACTTTTAACTCTAATTATAAGAGCACAGGTACTTGAAGTAGCAGGTCTTGGGGGGTGGGGAAAAGGAATTCAATATCTAATTTTTTTTTTTTTGTGGCTTCAGGGTATAAGAGCAGAATCTCTGTTTATTGGGTATTACTCTATAGAACCAGGGAGGGGGTATATAATTCTGAAGCTGTCCATCTAGGCAGAGACAGAGAAGAACAGCTTTCCTGAGGAAAATAAATGTCTACAAAGTCCCACTATAGCCAAAGGCTGTCTTATGCCTCCCATCCCCAACTGCAGTCAGAACCACCAACATGCGACCCATTTTATGCCGCTATGGGTAACCAGCACGGCCTTGCTCCAATTTCAAGGACCATCGTGACTCACACCTTCCCATAAAATGACCAAGCCAGCTTTCAGACTCCTGCTTCTTCCAGCAACACTGTACTCTCCTGGAATACTCCTGTCAGGCAGGAAGAGGGCACAAAGAAATGCACACTGGATTGCATCTTACCTGTAATTTTGCCATTGGCTTCGGAGGGAGGCTGCCAATTCACAATTATGGTCTTAGGTTTCCCCTCTTTACTCACAACAGTCACATCCTTGGGTGGAGAAGTTGGAACTACAAAATAACAATATTTTTAATAATTTCTGTCCATTTCAAATTAGTTCACTATTTCTTCAACCTTTTCCACTTGTAAGGCATAATAAAAGGCACAAGGCAATAAAGATAAAGCTTCCGGCTTCAAAGAAATCAGTCTATCAAAAGTTGCAATAAAAAGAAGAATATGCAGAGTACCAAAGAGGAAACACCATACTATGAAGATACAGAATTGGCATCTTGGCTGGGAGTCAGGGATAAACAGGATAATTAGGTAGGAAGTCAAGTGGCATTTGTACCAAGTACCTACTGTATACCAGGTAACGTACACATAGTATCTCACTTAATATTTGTAGAAAATCTGAAAGGCAGTTATCACTATCTCTGCTTTATGGATCAGGACACCAAAAAATTAGAGAAGTTATGTAATTTGTTCAAGATGACTTTTTCCCTGTCACACTGGATTATTTTGTCAGAATATTTTAAATTGTATAACAGTTTTCTCTCTCATTTATAGTTGGCTCTCCAAACCAAATATAACTTTTTTTTTTTTTTTGAGATAGAGTCTTGCTCTGTCATTCAGGCTGGAGTGCAGTGGCACAATCTTGGCTCACTGCAACCTTCACCTCCTGGGTTCGAGTGATTCTTGTGCCTCAGCCTACCAAGTAGCTGGGATTACAGGTGCGCACCACCACATCCGGCTAATTTTTGTATTTTTAGTAGAGATGGGGTTTCGCCATGTTTGCCAGGCTGGTCTCGAACTCTTGGCCTCAGGTGATCTGCCTGCCACGGCCTCCCACAGCACTGGGATTACAGGTGCAAGCCACCACTCCCGGCCCCAAATATAACTTTTAAAAGCCCTATTTCTTCAAAGAATAGATGATTTACAGATATTTTTCATTATGAGTTTATTCTGCAAACATACTGCCAACTATTGAGGTTACAGTTCTAAAATGAAGCCATTTGTTTATACAACAGGACAATATGTTTCTTGTTTTTCCATGTGATAGCTGAAAACTTTTTACATACTAGTAGGAAAATGAGCAAAGTAAGTACATCCTTAAATTTACTCAACTCTTCCTAAAATACTAGAATTCTCCTAGTATAAAATATAAGGAAGCCTGGTGAAATGCAAATATCCTAAGGGAAAACACAATCTCATTTGTTAGCTAATGGGTTGGGAGTGAAGTAAAAACATTTTCTTAAAATGGTTGGCAAAGAAAGCAAACTCAAGGTCTGTTTAAACTTTGATGCACTGTATTTCTAACTCTTCAAATCCAACCCTTTTCTCTGTACGAAGTCCAAAGAACTGTGCAGAAGACAAAAAGACACTGAGGCCAAGCCCAGTTTGTGGATTTATAACTCTATTTTTTCGTTATTTATATAGCAGAGAAAGAAATAGGAGGCCAAACTAGCCAGAGATTTGAAATGGTTATGCATATCCCTAGACTAGGAAAGCCCAGGGGGTAGCAGAAAGGCATGTCTAGAAGTCAGCAAAAACCAAACAGACTCTCAAACCCAGATAGCCTGTTCTCTCTTTAATTTGCTTAGTCATCTTTTCTCTCTCGTCTCCACTTACAAAGACCTTAAGGATTATTTCAGTGGAAGATTTTATAAGACACTAATTTGCTTGCAAGCAAACTGCAGAGGCAGCTTTGGGGTCACCTAGCAAAGTGTTCAGGCTCCAAGCAAGCATGGCATTGGAACTGTTTGGTCAAGGGCAGGTCACTTCATCTTATCTATCTCAGTTTACCAGTAAAGCAGGATTAATGGCAATAATCCCTTACATCTACCCAGTGCTTTGTAATTTATCTGTTTTCCCTGTAGAATCCTGTTATTTGCTAATGTTCTTGCTCAGTAATTAAAAAAAAATAACTCATCAGCTGAAATAGCAAACACTGAATTCCAAATGTAGTTGCTCACCGTGTTTTGTAAATATGTCAATTCATGCACTCAATTCTTTCCTTGGGAAGTAAAAGCAGCCATGTGACATGGCTTCCGACAACACATACCTAATTCAAAGGTGGTCCCATGCGCTGTCATACTCCATGTGCTTGATCTTCGACCTTTGGTCACCATCACAGAGAATTCATAGAGTGTATTCGGTTTTAAACCAGTCACCAAATAACTCAAAGTGGTTGCATTTGCATTCTGAAAAAAACATGAATTGAGAACTTTAAAATTAGAAAACATCAATGATTAGCTTTTTTTGGCCAAGGCAAATGTGTCAGTACCTTGTACTTGGTGTTTGCTGGGATGTTGGTTTTCCATCGGACGGTGTAGTATCGGGAGTCTGTAATCTTCTGGTGCTTGGGCAGTGAGTTGTCTGCCCACGTAATCCTTATGGTGTCATGACTCAGAATGGAAGCCTGAACTCCCACTGGTGGCATCATGGGAGTGGGATCTGGCACTGGAGTGTATGGAGCATTAATAACAAATAAATCAACTTCAGAAGTGTCTGAGCAGAAAATAATTTAAAAAGGGAAGTGGCATTTTAATGTAAACAAAAATAAAATAAAAGGGAAATGCAGGGTAATATAATGGAATGAAAAGGTGAGAAATGGAGAAAAAAGAAAGAAAATTCGGAGTTAATAGATAACCACCATTCATTTAAAAGACTATTTCCACTTGTGTTCTTTCAGGAAAAAAATTATAGAAAAAAGTTAAGAGAAGCAGTAATAAACTATATTTTCTACTGCATTCTATAGGCATATTAAAATGTTATAATCCAGTGATTATATTAATGTATTCATGCTTGAATTTTCTTAAAATAACTTGAAAATTCTACCTCCTGTTCAAAAAGGCTCATGAAACTGGATGTGGCAGCTCATGCCTGTAATCCCAGCACTTTGGGAGGCTGAGGCGGGCAGATCACCTGAGGTCCGGAGTTCAAGACCAGCCTAGCCAACATGGTAAAACCCTGTCTCTATTAAAAATACAAAAATTAGCCGGGCATGGTGGTGGGTGCCTGGAGTCCCAGCTACTCGGGAGGCTGAGGCACAAGAATCGCTTGAATCTGGGAGGTGGGGAGGTTGCAGTGAGCTGAGATTGTGTCACTGTACTCCATTCTGGGTGACAGAGCAAGACTCTGTCTCAAAAAACAAACAAACAAACAAACCCCCCCAAAACCAAAAAGGCTCACGAAGACAAAAACTGCTTTTAAAATCAGGGGTACAATTTCTAAACAAGCAATACAAAGCTCATGGTTTGAGATTTCAGTGAATGTGGCTGAATTTTTGGGACAAGAGTTATCTGTGCATATCACTATTCATGTAAGGGTCCAACTCTCAAAACCTGAGTCTTAAATATCAGCCATGGGTATTGAGGGTATCTGATATCCACAAAGGGTCAAGTTCAGACCTCCTGATGTCCTGGGTCTAAAGACAGTACAGTGACATAGCTGACACCATGCTGGACTATCTAATATAGTTTCTTCCATAGAGTCAGAGAACAACCCAGGGATGAATCCCCATCAGTTAAGGGAAATGCCATGGTTATCACAGTTCCAAGTAACAAACTTCACAAACTTTAGAAATTAGAGTACTATACAGTACTTATTTGATGGAAAGTCTATCCTCATGGAGCTGTCCTGTGCCATATACAACAGACACCTTCTCTGAGGCCAGAAAGAGCACAAAAGCACCACGCACCATGCACCATGCACCCAGGGCAATACAGCAGAGTCCATATGGGCTTTCCCAATTCATGCTTAGGTTTTCTAAGTATACACATACTGATTTAAGTTCACGGTTTACAATGGGTTTCTCACATAGCCATGGTGACTAGCCCTTATTACTCAAAATGTGGAATGGCATAGACCCTGTTTATGAATAACTGCTAAGCTAAAGTAATAGTCTCCATTTGTGTATTTCCTGCACAATGAGGACTAAAAATAACAGAGGAGCAGCATACATTATATAACCAAGAGCTTTGTTCAAAGTTTGGCAGGACACATACTAATTAGTTACAGAAAATGCACCTTCGAGTGTAGAAGTCATTAGAATTCCTGGAGAAAATTTTTTTCTTATATGTAGCAACCCTTAGAAAACATATCTAGATGCCACATAAAAGAAAGTAATTTCAAACTTGTTTTTTATTATTAAAGCCTGATTTTAGAAAGTAGCAGACCACTTATTTAAATATTATTTTTCACTGAATTTTTTTCTCCTTTTTGTAATACTAAAGCTATTTCTAAAAGAAATTATAAACTGTAAGCATATAGAAGACAGAACAGAACTACCAAACACATAGTAGTCCTAAATAGAAGCTTAAAAAAAAGGACAGAGATTATTAGACCCCCTGATGTTCTGGGTCCAATGGCAGTACAGTGACATAGCTTACACCCAAATAAAGCAAAAGGAACTCAAGGGTGTACTCTTCCTTCAGGAAAGGTAAGCCTTCCTTAAGAATGTTACCAAATCTGTACAATTATGCTACGTATCCAGCAGGCATCACTGGACAAGACAGAATCAAAATTTGGGGAAATAAATGAAAAAGAACATTTCCAAAAATGAATTCTTTGGTTTCCAGTGCCTTTTAAAAAATTTATAACTCTAACATATTTACTTTAATAAACTTTCTCTTTCAGATCTAAATTAGATGTCACATATATCTACAGAAAAATTTACATGACATGTATATTACTTTATTTTAGAGATGTATTTTTTTTTTTGTTTTGTTTTTTGAGACACAGTCTCGCTCTGTCGCCTAGGCTGCAGTGCAGTGGCATGATCTCGGCTCACTGCAAGCTCCGCCTCCCGGGTTCACGCCATTCTCCTTCCTCAGTTTCCTTAGTCGCTGGGACTACAGGCGCCCACCACACACTAATTTTTTGTATTTTTAGTAGAGATGGGGTTTCAGCGTGTTAGCCAGGATGGTCTCGATCTCCTGACCTCGTGATCTACCCGCCTTGGCCTCCCAAAGTGCTGGGATTACAGGCGTGAGCCACTGTGCCTGGCCTTTAGAGATATTTTAAGTAGATAATTCAAAGAAAAACAATGAATATTTGGTCTTGCTTGTAATAAATGTATAACTGATGAAATGGCTAGTACCTCTGACCTTATACTCAAGCTTATGAAAGGCACACAGAAAAATACTTTCCTAACCAACTCAGGTGGCTAGTAATGCAAATGATGTTGGGTTCACGAATCACATGCATTTATTGCCGCAGTCAGTAACATGCATTTTTTTTGACTCACTTTAGTTTCAACTCACATGCCCAAAAGATGGAAAATCACTTTTAATTATCTAAAAACTCTGCTTTTCACATCCTAACAAATTAAGAACATGTGTATATATCTACACAGAATGGCTTACGTGGCAGAATTAGAATATTCCAAAAAATGCAAAACAGGAATTAACAGAACTTTCCATGCTGAAAGCCCACTTTCCATTTGAAGTCAGCAGCCGAATGTGCCATACGCTTTTTCTTCACTAACACCTACGGGATAGGCCTCATGCCAATATTCTGCCTAAGCTGTTGGGAAAAGTGCCGGAGACTAGGAAAGATAGGATTCCTTACCTGTGTGAGGCCTGGTCACAGCACTCTCGTATAGCGGGATGCCTTCACCCACATTATTAAATGCTTTCAGGGTAATCACATAGTGAGAGCTGGGATCTGAAGAAAAGGAACACACACAAAAAATGCTCACTACAGAATTTTAAAAATTTAAGGGTGGCTGTGCATAATCTTAACCACAGAAGAATTCAAGAAAGATAACTTTACAATTTTTTATGGGGGATTATTTCAGGGTGTGGGGACATGTGGAGATGGAAGCACACACAGTACAGAAAAACTGGCCGGGACCAACTTCCTGGATTTAGTCTCAGTAGAGGAGGTGGGCTGTGCTTGAATTCTCTCTTGGCCTCTCCTATGGTTTAGTGATGTTCAGGGTATGATGTAGGGCTTGGCTGAGACTGAAGAGATAAGATTTAATTTGCTGAAGCCTGCAGATGGAGCTTGGAATTAAATAAACTCCTTTCATTCCCGGAAGCACAGCGATGACAACAGACAAGGTAGAGAAGTAGGAGATGAACTGTGAAGTCAGTAAGTGCTCAATGTCCTTGACTCTCCAAGTGGTCTCCAAATCCAGAAACGGCCAAACCTCATCTAGCCATCATGCCTCATGAGCCATGTCTCATGTGGCATGTGTTACTTCAAAAGCTTCAAACAGCTGCTTTTTTTGGCGGCCCACCTACTCCCTGGATTGCCACTAGAGGGCAACAAATAGAGGCAGGTCTTCCTGTGTCAGGACTGACAACAAATGGAATCAGTAAGACTTACTTCTTCACTGGCAAGGAAAAAGGGTTTTGGGCAACATAATAGATAGTAATGTCATTCACTGAGATTGGGAAAAGGGGCAAGAACAATCACGATACACATGTGCAAGGCTTGATTCTAGGTCCTCTTCTATTCCCACTCTTTGCTCTCACCCTATGCACTTTCGTTCATTTCCTTAGTTTTGATTAGCATGTATGTGTCATCAATTACAAATACAGATCTCTAGTCTGGATCTTTCTTATGAGTACCAGATCTTTATGTTCAATTGTCTGTTTGGCATTTCCTCTTGGGTGTCTCAAATCTGTCCCTCCCCACCCTGCCTCCAGCTTCAGACCAGCTCCGGTGTCTCCTAGTTTAGTAAACGACACTACCACCAATCCTGCTGCTCAAGCCAGAAACCTGGGAGTTATTAAGACCTCCTTTTCCCTCATCCCCTCCAGACAAACAATCAAGTTTTGTTGAATCTACTACTTGTCTTCTCCCACCACTCTCTGCCTAGTTCTCTGTGCTCCATCACTACCGGCCACTTCTCAGTTCACTGAGCACTGTGTTCTCTCCAACACGGGGCCTTCTGGCTTGCAGCTGCTCCCTATGCTGGGGACACATCCCACTCTTCCTGTTTACCTAGGTAAGCCTATTCATCTGAAAGGGCTCAGTCCACACTGGACTAACCTCTCTAGTTACAAAGCCCATTTCTTTCCTCAGCACTGTGAACAATTTCAATTATTTTTGAATTGTATTATTTCTAATAATTGTAAGCACATCTGTCTCATTCTCTGCTCTATTTCTAGCACAGTGTCTGGGATATTGTTAAGTGTTCATTAAATATTTGCTGATCAATCAACAGGTTTGAGGAAGAATGCATTAACTTTAACTTTGGGCCAGATGGAATATGAGATATATGATGTTTATATGGATTTGAAGCTCAGGGGAGAGTTCCAGGCTGATGAATAGATGAATTGCTAACTGTACTTCCTCCACCTCTCACTTGCTTCTTTAACTCAACATCATCTGCATCTTAGATCTATCTAGGTCAATAATTATAGCTCAAGCTTATTTTACTTTATGCCACATTAATTTTTTTGCTACTCTGTAATATGTACTCCATTTTCTAATGAATTCTATCTGTTTACTTTCTGCTGCACATGCAGCACTCCTCTCATCTCTCTGTTTCAAATGCTATTTTGATTCTATCTTTCGAGCTCAGGTGTTTCTTCCCTGACTGCTCTACTGTGTCTTGCTAGCTCTCCCTTCTCTGAACAAAATTCACTTCAACTCACTTCATTGTTTCTTGTGTTTTCTTTTTGTTCTGTTAGACTGAAAGCACGTGAAAATCAAGGACCATGTCCTGTCAATACTGCAAAGGAGTTTCACGTCAGTAGCTGCAAAAAGGAAACAGTATGAGGCTGGTCACTACAGGGACATTTTTTTTTTTCTTTTCAGACAAGGTCTTACTTTGTCACCCAGCTGGAGTACAGTAGTATAATCGACTCACTGCAGCCCTGACGTCCAGGGATCAAGCGATCCTCCCACCTCAGCCTCCCAAGTAGCTGGGACTACAGGCACATGCCACCATGCCTGGCTAATTTTTTAAATTTTTTGTAGAGATGAGGTCTCAATATGTTGCCCAAGTTGGTCTTGAACTTCTGGGCTCAAGTGATCCTCCTGCCTTAGCCTCCCAAAGTGCTGGGATTACAGATGTGAGCCACTGTGCCTGGCATTTTTATTCTACCAGCAAAGCTTTCCTTTTGCTCTCTAACAATTGTCTTAAAAGATGTTCATGTGGGGATACATTTCCTAGGTTAACTGTACTGTTTCTTCCTTGTAAGGAAAAGATAAAGGCTGCTTTTTTTTGGAATAAAGATTTAAATCCCAGCTTGTTTTCTAACAGAAAGGATGAATATAACTCATCTGTTAGGCACTTGAAGTTGTTCTTAGGAAAGATGTTTACAAGGAAACAATTTGAATGAAAATTTGGTCAGGGCAGATTTTAACTTTAAAAACGAGTGTTTCAAAAAAGATCTATAATGATAATCCAATTTGGAAAAGTAATTATACCTGACAAAATAAATTATTTATTATAAAACATAAATATTTCTCAAATTCTTTTGCTTTTAAAATCAACGGCGTGGTGGCTCATGCTGGTAATCCTAGCACTTTGGAAGGCCAAGGTGGATGGATCATCTGAGGTCAGGAGTTCGAGACCAGCCTGGGGCAACATAGTGAAACCTCATCTCTACCAAAAACACAAAAATTAGCTGGACGTGGTGGCGCATGCCTATAATCCCAGCTACTCCGGAGGTTGAGACAGGAGAATCATTTGAACCCAGGAGGTAGAGGTTGCAGTAAGCTGAGATCATGCCACTGCTCTCCAGCCTAGACGACAGAGTGAGATGTTGTCTCAAAAAAAAAAAAAAAAAGAAAAAAAAATCAACTATGAGGTATAATTAGCATACAATAAAATGTATCAAGTGTACATTTACAGTTTTGACAAATATATATATCTTGCATAATAACCACCAAAATCAAGATATAGAACATTTCCAATTCTCCAAGAAGCTCCCTGGTTCCCTTGTAGTTGATTCCTACCACCCCTGGTTCCAGGCAACCACTGATCTTGCTTTGTCACTATAGACAAATTCTGCCTATTTTGTAATTCACAAAATGTAACAGCATAGTATGTAGGGGCTTGTGTTTGACTTCTTTGCTCAGCATGTTTGTGAGATTAATTCCTGTTGTGTCTTGATAGCCTATTAATTGATGAGTAGTACTCCATGGATATATCATGATTTACCACTTACCTGTTGATGAAAATTTGTTATTTCCCCTTGTTCACAAAGTTACTATGAACATTGTATATAAGTTTTTACGCAGACATGTATTTTTATTTCTTTTAATTAATTATCTACGTGTGGGATTTTACTAGGTTATATGTTTAACTTTACAAGAAACCGCTAAAGTGTTTTCCAAAGTGGCTGTACTATCAAACATTCCCACCAGCTAGTATGAACATTCCAGTTCTGTATCCTTGTTGATATTTGTTATTGCCAGTTTATTACTGTTTAGCAATTCTAGCGAGTGTGCAATAATATTTCATTGTGGGTTTAATTTGCATTTTCTGATGATTAATGTTGCTGAGCATCTTTTCATATGGTTATTGTCCACTCATGTATTTTCTTTGGTATAGTGTCTGTTCAAATCTCCTGCCCACTTTTTATTGGGCTGCCTTCTTATTACTGAGTTGTAAGAGTTTTATATATTTTAGACTCAAATTCTTTGTTAGATATTTAAATGGTGGGTATTTTCTCCAAGTCTGTGGCTTGCCTTTTCATTTTATTGGTATCTTTATAAAAGTAGAAGTTTTAAAATTTTGATGAAATCCAATTTATCAATTTTTAAATTTTATGATTTATGCTGTTTTACAACCTGAGAGGTCCTTGCTTATCCCAAAGTCATAAAGATTTTTTCCTATGCTTTTCTTCTAGAATTGTTGTCCCAAAGTCATTTGCGTCTTGCATTTAGGTCTGTTTTTGCATATAGCGTAAGACAACAGTTAAAGTTCTTTTTCTTTCTGATATGGATATCCAGGTATTCCCACACCTTTTGTTAAAAAGGCTATCTTCTCCCCACTAAATTATCTAACCAGCTTTTCCAAAAACCAACTGACTGTATACATATGGATCTATTTCTGGACTCTATTCTGTTCCATTGATCTATAACATCTACCTTTACAATACCACCACTATGTCTCAATTATAAGACATGAAATCAGATAGTATGGGTCTTCTAATTTTACTCTTTAAAAAAATTGGCTATTCTAGTTCCTTTGATTTTTCATAAAAATTATTAGAATCAGCTTATCAATTTCTACAAAAAAGCCTATTGGGACTTTTCTTGGACTGCACTGGGGGGAACTGTCACCTTAGTAATATCATGGCTTCCAACCAATGAACATGGTATCTTCATTTAAGTATTCTTTAATTTCTCTCAGCAACAATTTTCTATTTTCAGTGCACAGATATTACATACATTTTGTAAGTCTGATCCTAAGTACTTCATATTTTCTGATGCTATTCTAAGTGGTATTGTTATTTTAATTCCAATTTCCAACTGCTTATTATTAGTATATGGAGATACAACTGTTTTTGTATATTCACTTTGTATCTTGTGGCCTTGCTAAATTCACTTAAGAGTTTTAGTGGCCTTTTTGTAGATTCCTTAAGATTTTTTACCCCAGTTACAATCAACAGACATAGTGCCCAGATATTGGTTTCCAAAATCATTTTTCATAAAATAAATTGGGGTTCCTTAGAGAAATGGCTGGTTCCAGGGCTGAGGCTAGGGAAATACTAGATGAGCCAGGAACATCTTACCATGTTGTCAAAAAGGAAGAAGGTGCTCAAAGAAAGATGGAAGATGTCAAATGGACACAGGAACCAGTTATAAAGAGACTCCCATTGGCCATTCTCTTCATGGGGGTGAAAGAAAGTTCTTCCTTATCATAGGATGTTAACATTTGTAGAGGAAATATGGAATTAGGAAATCACCATCGGGGAAACAACTTTCTAATAACTGTTACTACAGATGCTGAAACTAGTGAGTGAAAGTGTAATGGGAAACAAGATACTTATAAAGATTCAAAGTATCTCCTCCACAAGACACTTTTAATTACAAAGGAAAAAATAACAATTTTATAGCAGGAAAATGTGGCAGATGCCATTTTAGCCAACTGATTAAAGTGAACATCATTATCAATATAGGCTGTAATGTGCTTCCTGATATGATGCACTGACAGGAACCTAACACTTCTACCCTATTCCTTCCAAAAATGCATAACCTGAATGTAATGAGGAAATATTAAGCCAAGTCTCAATTGAGGAGCATTCTGCAAAATATAGATGTAAATGTGGTTAAATGTTAACATTTGGGGAATTCAGGTGAATAACATACAGAAATTATTTGTACTATCTTTTGCAATTTTCTTGTAAAAATAAAAATATTACATAAAAGGTTAAAAAGAAAGGAATCACCTACACAATTAACTTTCTCTACTTAGCAAACATACCCAGATTTTCAATGGTGTAATAGCGCTGTTTATAGTCCACTTTGATGGTCTGGGCATGAGGGCTGCCAATGCCATAACCAATGGCATAACCTCTGACCACAATGTTCTGATTCTCCGGAGGAGTCCAGCTCACTACGATGCTAGTGACGAGCGGGCGTACGTGAAGAGAGCTAGGCACTTCAGGAACACGAGTTTCTGGGAAAGAAAAGTGGAAAATCAAGATGAGATATACTGTCCTTTAAAATATCTCACCATCCTTGGGGAATGGTGTTTAGCCTCCTGCCACACTATTTGGGGCTAAGTTTTTTACATTATGCCCAAGAGTTCAAAGAGAAACTGTATGTATAGTAAAATATAGCCCAAGATTTTACTGCATTCTAAGAAAAAAAAAACAAACCTAAACAGCTTTAAATACAAGACACTGCAATATTAATTTGGAAGGGAAAACAGATACAAGAACCTCTTCTGCCCCAAAGGAGAAAAATAAATTTTCTTTCAATAGTTACCATCTCTCTTGGTCCCACATCCCATTCCCAAACTCTACCAGGTGGAATGAGAAAGGCATAAACTGAGTAATTGGAAGCCTGTTGTTAACAGGTGTTTAAGCATCACATTATAGCAATAGTACTAATTACTAACTCCCCTAAGTAGTATGATAAATCAGAAAACATGAAATTTTAGAGCCACAGTTGATTCAATTGGTGAGAGACTAAGAGGCTTACAAAGGAGGAAATTTACATGCTCTTTCACATACACTGTTTTCAGGGCATAAATTACGACCTTAATTAAAAAATTAGTAAACTGAGGCCAGGCATGGTGGCTCATGTCTGTAATCCCAGCACTCTGCAAGGCCAAGGAGAAAGACTCACCTGAGCCCAGGAGTTCAAGACCAGCTTGGGCAACATAGTAAGACCCTATCTCTAAAAAAAATAGCTAAGTGCGTTGGCACACACCTGCGGTCTCAGCTACTCAGGAGGCTGAGGTGGGAGGATCGTGCTTGAGCATGGGAGGTCGAGGCTGCAGTGAACCATGACTGCACTCTAGACTGGGTGAGTTTGTTAGACCCCTTTTCAAAAAAAAAAAAAAAAATTAGTAAAATGAGACTCAGAACAAGAACTCAGGTCTTTTGCCTCCCAAGTCCAGCACCTATCACTGATAAAGGTGCTACCTATACACATGCTTTTGGAAGTACTCACTGAATGAACAGGTGAGAAAAAGGGCAAGGTGTCCAGTACTAAAAGAAAAGGGAAACTGCCGTTGAAACAAAGGCATGATTTATGTGGCTCAGCCTTAAATTTTACATCATTCATCTACTTAATGGCCTTGGTGAAAAAAAATGCAACTTATAGCACATACACATTTTTATTTGCTCTAGTTCTGCTTGAAAGGACAGTTCGCTTCAAGGCACTGCAAAAAATCCATTCCAGCAGCCTGGTGCAATACAGGAATGACAGCAGTGTGATACACTAATGTTCAGACTTGAGCCATATCCAACCCACGTCTGTGGCTTTCCAGTTTGACTCATTTGACTACAGTCAGTATTTATTGTGTGTCAGTCTTGCCAATTGTTATTCTTACCATCTAGGTCACTTTCAAAAGTTTCAGCAGACAGCCAGTCAGTTGCCGGGCCTGTACCATTGATTGTTAGGGCAGCCACTCGGAAATTATACTCAGTCCCCCGATCAAGACCTGAGACCAAATGACAAAAAAGACAACTGAAACCAGAGCTTTTGGAAAAACAAAAGATTAATAATCCCTCATTAAGGCAAGTATCTCAGTCACCAACTCAGTATATAGCTTGACAAAGTTTCAGTTAAAGTTAATACAGTGTAAGCAAAACGCAAATACAACATAGAGTAGTTTCCATCTCCAAATAAAGCAAAGGCTGAAGCCCATACAATCTAAGAGGAAAACAGAAATGACTGAAGCTCCCGGGAGATTACAGACTTTTGTTTAAAAGCTTGAAGGTACCTGAGAGATCATTCAATGCAATCCCTTTATTGTGTTACAAAGAAAGCTAAGGCCAAAAAGAGGCCAAGAACAATGAAAGAGTTACAACAAAGGAACAAAGGTATCTGGTCTTAGAAGGCACCAAAACCTAAGAAGGAAAGAATGCAAAGATATAAATCCCATTGAGTTACCTCTGTTTTCTGAGCCACTTCACAACCATGGCAGAAAAATTTTAAGCACCAAATATGGTCTCAAAATCGATTCCTTAACAACCAATTGCTCATAGATTATATAGTAAGTAAAAGTGGAAATTGACCCAACCCTTTGTTACGCAACTTTTAATATATTACCAGCTAATAAAGTACGTGATCTACCAATGTATCAAAGGCAACAAAGATGCACACAGAAAAGTCTGTTCTACAAATCAGGGCAACAGTACTGAGAATGTAACTTGGCCAGGACACGAGAAAAGCCCTGGTTTGGTTAACTAATCCTGTCCCGTGGTGGGGAGAAGAGTTGGTAGGTTCTATCTCAACAGGCCTTCCTGACAATCTGTGTGCCCCACAAAGCAAGGAGCAAGACAAAAGGGAGGAGCAAAATGCCTGGACCCAAGTCAATTTATCTCCTTGAACTCAATGAACCAGAAAGTACTAGACTGTTTGTTGACAGATAATCATCTGGACTACTAGCAAACACTGCTCAGTGAAGCTCCTGAAAGAATCCAACCAATCATTCCCTGTCTTTTGGGGACAATTAGGATGTAAGAGAGAGCAAGCAAAAATGAGGTACCATGGAAAGAGGCTGAGTTTCCTCTCCCTCTAAGTACCCTATAGAGTTTATAGGCTACAACTAAGGTATACAATACATATCATAAAGATACGGCAAGATTGGTTTAGTGCTGTAACGACAATTACTTCTGCCTAAAATTTAATCATATAATGTGTTGTTGGTAAAGGATCTTGGTGATCCATATTGCTCCCTAATACTTATCAGGCTTCAAGTTAATGCTCTAAGAGTGCAAGCATCTCCATTTTTGTTCACCATTGTATACTCAGTGCCAGAACATGCCAACAAAAGTTCAATGAAATCTATTAAATGAATAAATCCAGATATGATTTTAAAATGTAAGAATTTTCTTGATAAATATAAAGCCATTTTTACCATAAAAATTCTATTTTGCTTACACATCAAATGTTTCATTGAGAAAATGAATAATCTCCTCATGGGCAAGGACCATATTCTTTTTTTAACAGCAACAGGAATGGTGCCTAGTATATAATAAATACAACTAAATATTCAAAATGAAAAGCCTTACGAATGGCAAATGTTATTTATCTGAATGTAGAGTAAAATATGAAACTGACTTTTTTTTTTTTTTTTGGAGAGACAGAGTCTCCCTCTGTTGCCCAGGCTATAGTGCAGTGGCACAATCATGGCTCACTTCAACCTCTACTTCCTGGGTTCAAATGATCCTTCCACCTCAGCCTCTCAAGTAGCTGGGACCACAGGCGAGCACCACCACACCTGGTTAATTTTTATACTTTTTTTTTTTTTCAGTCTCTGCTTATCCATTAACATTTTTGTATTTTTTGTAGAGACACAGTTTCACCATGTTGCCCAGGTTGGTCTCAAACTCTTGAGCTCAAGGAATCCGCCTGCCTCAGCCTCTCAAAGTGCTGGGATTACAGGAGTGAGCCATCATGCTCAGCTGAAACTGACTTTGAGAACATCTGTGGCCAGTGCTCCCTTAGTGATATTCCTCAGCACCATCTACTGCAGTCATGATATGGACTTCAGCTAAGAGATGTGGGGTTCTTGTGAAGAAGCTGGAAGACTGAAAGATATGCCCCTGGAGACAAACATTCACCTTCTCCTATTTTGAAGGAAGTCAATCCCATTTGTGAGGTGAGGAGTGAGAAGCTTGCTGATTACTAGAGCACAGTTTTTCACTGTCAATGGCTCTCTCAATTTTTAGAAACTTATACCCATAAACAAGGGAAAACATTATGCTTTTTTTCTGAGACAGAGTCTTACTCTGTTGCCCAGGCTGGAGTGTAGTGGCACGATCTCAGTTCACTGCAGCTTCTGCCTCCCCAGTTCAAGAGTTTCTCATGCTGCAGCCTCCTGAGTAGCTGGGATCACAGGTGCGTGCCACCATGCCCAACTAATTTTTGTATTTTTAGTAGAGATGGGGTTTCACCATGTTGGCCAGGCTGGTCTTGAACTCCCGACCTCAGGCGATCCACCTGCCTCAGCCTCCCAAAGTGCTGGGATTATAGGCATCAGCCACTGCACCTGGCTGGAAAACATGACACTTTCTGGCCCCAGATCTTGGTTCTCTCAAGAACCTGGTCCCTGGGGTCCCAGGAAAGTGGGTGATGCCAAGCTTCTGTAATCCTTTCAATGTCTACCCAGGAGAGATAAAATACAAAGAAAGTTAAAGTTTCCAAAGGGTGATTAAATTAATTCTTGGGCTTAGATAATAATGACAATATCGCCCATTCTTATGGTTCTTATCTACCAGCACGCTTTGGAGTTTCCTAGCAAAAAAATTACCCAAGTCAGAGCTTTTGTCCCAAGATTAAACATGCCCTGTGACTACACTGTTACAGCTACAGATAACTCACACCTTCTGGTTGTAAATGTACTAGACTCAAATTCACCTGTTTGCTTGCAAAACAGATGGGCTCTATCGAGTGACAAAACTAAGCTGATGCAGCTGAGGCAATACTCCAACAGGCCCAGCCCATGTGAGTTTACTCCTAGGACAGAGGTAGGGTGATGGTGCCAAAGCCGAGGCATGTGTAACTGAGCAGGACAGAGTCTTGGCACTGCTAAACTAATAAAGGAGTGGGCAGGATGGGGTCTGCTCAGACTACAGTAGATTCTGCAGCCATATTAAGCATCTATGAAAACCCAATGGAACAAGGACAGCTTGGGGCATCTGTCTCAATTCTTTGTAGGCATGATCCCAATATTCACAGGGTGAAAGCACTTAATCTGGCTTCCATGTTTCTCCTGCAAAAGAACCTTACCCTTGCTTAGCCAACTCTACTTCCCCTACTTGGGGAAGACGGGGGATTCTCTGTGATCTCCAGGGTGAACCCATATTAGATACACATTTGGATCCATTTTTACCAGGTATGCCACTTATTCTGTTGCATATGAAGGGAAAACTATACAGAAGGAGCTATGCCTGATAGTATTTTCTAAAATGTTATCATGTCCATAGTCGCATGTATGATTATTGCAATGAGGCAGCTATTCACAAATACTGTTTCAGGCCACGTACACACGAGTGGTGGTCGGTATTACAAAAACCATTTTGTAGACCTCAGTTACCAACTAGACTGAGTGGAGTAATTTCCATACTTATATAACTTTGTTTAATCATTTTTCAGATTACAAAGAAAAAATACATACATGCAAAAATGAAAACGTGGACAATGCAGAAAACACAAGAAAGGAAAAATCAAACTCAATCTCACCACTCAGAGATAGCAGAACCTTTAAGAATGTTTTCCACTAATCTCTATCAAGTCAGAAGTGGACTGAACCATTAAAAATTTTCTGAACCATTTTAAAATTGTATAAGTCGACAGCTCAGAGCAGTCATTAGATTAGCATAATTTAATATCTGAGAAAGACACAGTCTACCTTTTGCCTATGTGCAAGGTAGCTTACCTTCAATCAGCTGAGACAGCTGTGTCCCGCTTACCAAGGTCTCAGTGACATCACTCTTTCGGGAGGCCTTTCGGTAGCGAATCTTGTAGCCAGTAATCTGCCCATTTTGTGTGGCTGGAGCAGGTGGCTGCCAGTGAATCATAATACTCTGCACAAGACAGGATTATAGAAAAAAGGCTGAATATATCAAAAGCTTGGTCCTGTTTTACATATTTTTATCCTGATTTCACAGTGTAAAGAGAAGAAGCATAGAGACAGCAAGGTACTCAGAGTTTTACAAAGTTATTTAACAATCACTCAAAAATACCTTTAAATTCTAAAACCCTCAAGGATCAAATGGGAAGATTATACATTCAAGTAGTACCCTCTGGACCCCTGATCTCCTGGCTGTTTTGCCAGAAGGATGATGTTGGCTAAAAGTCTCAGAAAAGTTTTCAGAAGGAAAGTATAAGAAGGCCAGAAGCCCATGGATTAGGGAAGTAAACTATTATTAGGTATAAAGATTCTTTCCCGTGTCCAGTGCAGAAGAGCTGAAATCTTCATCTAAAACTCTTTAAAAAGGGGATGATTAATTAACAGCTGGTTGCCTCTTAAAAGACAAAAAGGAGTCCTATAGTACTTTCTTATTTTTTTAGAGTAGGGGGTCTCACTCTGTCACTCAGGCTATAGTGTAGTTGCATAATCATGGCTCACTGCAGCCTTGAACTCACGGACTCAAGTGATCCTCTCACCTCAGCCTCCGAGCCACTGCATTTGGCTGTCTATAGTACTTCTTGAAAGGACTGAATATCTCAGTTGTCTGTGTAGTCCAGAAGGGCTCTGAGCCTCTGAGAGGCATACATGGCCCTAAGAACACAGCAAACTTGGCTAGGAGGGACAGTTTGAGGAGATACAACCAATCTGACAGAGGTCTGCCTTTGATTCACATGGGCTCATCTCACAGCACTAAGGAACCATGTTATAAACAACTTATTTCCTTCTGCCGTACCACTAAGGTTCGGAACAGTTAACATCTAGAATGTAATGTTTTACAGAAAAAGAGCAATTTATTTGCAGAAACGCTAAAGCAGTTTTGGCATCAGAGAAAGGAAGCAAAATTAAGGAGAATAAATGAGTTGGTTTTTAAGCCCAGCTTTAATGCAAGTGTAATATCTATGTGTTTTTATTTCTTTGCTTGTGATTTTTTTCAGTTAGGCTCTAATTTATAGGTTTAGTATTTCCAAATGCAGACTATTACAACACTGCCATTCATTTATTTTGATGCTTTCCCACAGAATCTCCCTTTCTATAAGCCCCTGTGAGGCGCAATAGTATACCAGTAAAAATGAACAGCAGCGTCATAAAGTTTTACCTTTGAATTTCTCACTTCCAAGGACAGATTCTGAGGAGCAGCACTGGGAACTAGAGAAGCAAACAAAAAAGAATTTTTTTTTTTTTTAAAATCACCCACACATCACCCATCATGTGATCATCTTGACTGGACTTTAAACAAATGCAAATCTCAAACACTGATTACATGACCAGATCTAAACTAGCTGCCAATGCCCTCATGTTGACAATACTATGTGGATGACATATGGCCATGCCTGGTTCAATTTTTAACATAAGACACTTTCATATGGGAAAGCACCCACACCCAGGCCAGGTTGTACCTTTGGGAAGTCAGATATTTATTTCAAGGATGTATAGTGGCTCTGAACTCTTCTAAAAACTCTCAACTTTTCTAGACCTCGTATGTACTCAGAACCTTAAATGCATTCTTTTGAGTATTATTGATGATGGTTTATCTTTTTTTTTTTTTTTT